TGTTCTCTGAGGAGGATTCACCCCTCCATGAGAGCTTCTTTTCAGCCCACTTATTGTGTCACAGCTCTTACGGCTTATCTGGACAGCCACTCTCCCAAGGAGAGCATTTCTGAGAAGGCTCAGGCCAACAGGAGATGGATCAGCTGAAGACCATCTCTGTTCATCAGCCTTTTTTTCTTCTTTTGTTCTCAGCTTGTCCACTTTCCTCAGACATGTTAATTAAACACTGCACTCCAGGTTTTTACCCAATAAGACTTTGGGAATCCTCTGGTTAGTTTCAAAACTGGATGTATCAACGCAGCGCTGGCTCATCCCTTGAGTTAGGGGATGAGCCGGTGCTCAGACGTTGGGGATGGGTTGATGGGGAGACTCGCTGTTCTCTCCGGTTCTGCCTGAGGTGAGCAGATGGCTCACCGCCGCGCTCAGACTTGACGTTTAGCAGACTGGCCCTCACATACACAGCTTTCATCCAACTGGCTGTAAAACACAGTAAAAAGTGTGTTTTACTAACCAGAGACACTTCTTTCAATATGCTTTTTTTCCTTAGATACATTCGTCAGTATTTCCAAAGACTTTGTCTGAACTGTTGATTTAGTGTGGTTAACCACATCAGGAAATATATATATATATATATATCCACTCGTGAGAAAATTAGAAGTTGCACTGAGATTAAAACAAACGGTTAGGTGATTTTTCAAGTGCTTTAAAACGACGGTCCACAAAAGACAGATTTCTCACCAGGATATCATTCAATTATTAAAGCCATCTGGAGGAATTTCAGGGTGCAAGACAAAACTGGACACCTGTGATCAACAACTATCACTCCCTGATAAAATAGGTCCGGTGGATTATTGTAGGAAATAAAATAAAACTATGCAATGCATGGTTTTATTTTTTTATTTATCGTTTTTCTTTTTTTAAATCCCACTTGGAAAAATACAGTTGTTTTTCTTCTTCTCCACTTTTCTGGACTCTGGCATGAAACCAGAGCAATCAGTAGTCCATAAAGCTTTTTTTACAGAAAAAAAAACAATGTTGTGTGCTCCAGACCAAAGGCAAAAATGAACATCAAAACCATTTTCAGCAACAAGTCTAAAAGCTGAAAACAACAGATGATGCCCTCAACACAACATATTTTCCAGGAATTATCATGTAACTTTCAGAAATTAATTCACAACCTTCCCTTTTGCTCAGAGAAGCTGGAGTATTCAAAAAAATTAACAGAATTTGGGTAAATTATTAAATGGAAAAATGTCCCATTTGAAGGAGAAGTTTTAAATCATGGAAAATTTATCAGCGAAATAACCAATTTTTTCACCTACTGATGGAGCAAAATGGACAAAAAAAGAAGATATACACTGTTTTCACCCATTGGGTGGTCATGGACTCAGCAGATTAAACACATGCTCATGTTAAACCTGCTGGTTTGGATTCTGGCAACTTCTGGCTATGTTGCCACCATGTGGCCAAAATTGAACCCACATAGATTTTAAAGCCCTCAACGTCCTGACATGTCAATTTTACTGCTTTGATTTATCAAATCCTACGTATTTAAGTCTCTGAATTTGAATCCAGCTTCATATAATAAAAAAAAGATCTAAAGACCTAAAGACAACATGGCTTCTCCCGATAGGATGTCCACTAATAAAATGCGTATGCTCTAAAGTCCAGGGGAAACAGGAGCTGGAAGATAATATTTGGACTGTGGGACAGGGGCTTACCCCCTACATTGATCTGACTGGATACCACTCACCTAACCTCTGACCTCAGGAAAGAGCGTTTCCTTTTGTGGGCTGTCAATCAGGCCTGCTCCCTGTAGGTGGAATATCCTCTCAGCCCGATGGGACTCTTTAAGGAGCAAACGCGATAAGGGTCAACTCGGGTGCAACACTAATTGAATGTTAGGCTGTGCGCTTCTAATCCCATTCCACTGTTTAACCGGGGTGTTTCTGGCAGGTGGAAAAGCAGAGGGCAGATCTCACCAGAGAGTTGGACGATCTCACAGACCGACTGGAGGAAGCAGGAGGGGTGACGGCTTCTCAGGTACTGAACTGAAGAGGCCCGGAGAGGCTGCTGTAGACCAGCATCGAGCAGGGGTTTGAGCCTCAGCTGCCTGAAATGAACAGCACTGGAAGCTACCATGATGATTATTTTATGTGTCCGCAATAGCTTAAAAAGACGATAACATTATATAGAACAGTATAGAACATCATGGTTTCCTGCTTAAGATTATTACATTTATTTACCCACAGTCCTGAACAGATAATACAGATTTAGTGGTTGAACGTGTTACTTGAAGCGTTTCTGATATGCATTTCAGTGCATTGGATACAATTTGGGTTTCCTAGTTATTCGAAAATAGTCAAACACAAACTCTCTGCAAATGAGAGTCCATAATGAAGGCTCTGAAAGGGGAAATGATCAGTGTTATTAGAAGTGGCGCGGGGAAATTTTCCGATGAAACCAAGTGAGACATAACCACAATCATACGATACAATTTATATGATGCTATTACATGTAGTCGGAAAAACTACTGCAGCGCCCAGCGTCATTTTATGACGGTATCCAAATTTTGATACCGTCGTACCATTTCCATATTTTACGGTATACGGAATTACCGTACTTAATTAAATCTGATAATTTAAGGCCCAGATAGTGTCGACGTTCAACGTGTTACCGTCTCACAGTCTCCTTTTTATTACATAATTTACACATTGCCTCATCAGTATTGGTTTAATTATATCTCATATTTAATCCTCATCTCCTATATAAGCACATAGTTGACGGTACTGAAACTTATACCGTTGCTTTTGAAAGATACCGCCGGTCTACCTTATTACCGTATTACCGCCCTCTCACTCTACCAGCAACTTCATGTTCAACTTAATATTGGAAAGTTGCCAAAGCCGTTACGTTTTACGTCAACGTCAAACACAACCTGTGCACTATATGTGAGCGACACAAATGGCTTTTTACAAATTAACATAATACAGCAACACAAAAACCCAGAACCAGGCGGGAAACAACACGTCTGACAAGTTCCCGTTAAAGACAGCCGTGGTGCTCACGTTCTCCACACAAACAACAGCGGTAAACAACTTCAGCGGACTCACGTGCTGCTCCACAGTCACAGAAAAATAACACATAAATAACACTCACTGGGCAGATCAGTGACAATCAAGCTGCGCACAGGAACCAAAAAACAATTTTGCTCACCTTTTTAATGAGGTAGGCCATCCACTTGTCGTTCATGATGGCGAAGTGATCGATGACCAGACTTTGACTTGGACTTTTTTGCCATTAATCCGTCCAAACAGTGTGACAGTAGCCCGAGACAGTTTGGCAACGCCGGCGAGTCCTGTAGTAACCCCCGGTGGTCGTTCAGGGAGCAGGAATCCTCATCAAAAAGGAGACAGGGCCAACAAAATAGCCGCTGAAGATCGGTGCTACCAGCTAGCCACTCAGAACGAAATCATTCTCCTTATCCTGAAAGTACCAAATCCTTTCTTCCCCTCAGTACGGAGCTCTAGTCGGACTAAATTCGGAGTTGCTACTTATAGGAAGTTTAGTGAAAGTACTTTTTTGGATAAAAACTCCAAATCTCCACCCTTCTTAATCACATTTCATAATTTGGCTAGTTTAAGCTAGTTAGCTATCAACAAACATTTTCCACTGTTCCGTTCAATGACGTTGATGACAGCATACTGTGATGTGATTGGCCCGATGCCAATGAGTTCGCGGCTTCTCTTGACCCTGTCCTAACCAATCAAAATAGCCTCACCTTATTGGTTAATCTTTTGGGGTTTTTCAACAGCACACAGATGTCACACCTAAAAATTTCCCCGTTGACCTTAAGGCACAAATAAGAGTTTTAAAAAGTCTCCTAAATGACCACAAGGAGCTGAAAACTGATCACAAGAAACTAGTTGCATTTCAATAATAAGAGGAACTTTCAAAAATTAATTTCTAACTCATATTGTATTTTGACTGTTATCAAGACCAATGGATACCAAATATGAGGCTTTAAATCCTGCTGTTATTTTTCCAAATAATAACACAATATTTTAGTTTTAATAGGTTTAAAAAAATAATAAAAATAATGATTTTTGTTCTTCTAAAAGGTTGTCTAATATTTTTTTTAGGTGACACTGTATATTGTAACCTGAACATTTAAAAAAGGGAAAAGATTTTTGTTATTCTAACAGGTTGTCTAATACATTTCTGAAGCTCTATATTGCCCCCTCAAAATGAACTAGGTTTCCAGAACAGCATCTGCAAAAAAAAAAAAAAAGATTCTAAGCCGAAATAAGCGTAAATAAAAACAGCCTCTGGGAATGATGTGCAGATGGAGGTCAACAAGAAGAGGGAGGCTGAGCTCCAGCGGCTGAGACGGGAGCTGGAGGAGTGCTCGGTCCAGTCTGAGGCTCTGGCCGCGTCTCTGAGGAAGCGGCACGGCGAGGTGGTGGCCGACCTGAGCGAGCAGTGCGAGGCCCTGCAGCGGACCCGAGCCAAGCTGGAGAAAGAGAAACACAACCTGAGGATGGAGGTGGACGACCTGGCCGCCTCGCTGGACAGTCTGCAGAAGGCTAAGGTGGGAGGGTCAGTCCTGGTTATTAGCCTGTCATTCGTTTTTGTATTTTAAGCTAAAGCTTTCAGTGTGTCCTCTTTGTGCTGCAGGTGGCATCAGACAACCAGATGAAGAAGCTGGAGGAGCAGCTGACCGAGGCCAACAGGAGAGGAGACGAGCTGCAGAGGACGCTGACCGAGCTCAGCGTGGCCAAGAGCAGACTCTCAGGTTAGCTGCTCCCCCTCAGTCATTGGTCTCATTTGGCTGTAAAAGGCTGTTTTCTCTGCTGACTTCCCACTATGTGTGATGACTGGTCAGAATATGTGCTTCCAGTGACGTGAGAGTAAGATAAAATCACACATAAATGAGATGCTAGTTAGAGTTCCACTCCTTTGAAACACTAAATGTAAGATTTGTTTCATTCCTTGTTGGTTGCTGGTAAAAATGTAGGTTTTATACTCTTAGTCTAAACTGAAAATAAGTTTAAACATATGTTTAAACATATTTAAAATAGGAATAACACAAACATACGTACCATGATATAAATGGGCGTCCTTCTATCTTACCAGTAACTTATCTCCCTCTGTAAAGATCTCTGTGCATTCAAAGGGGCTTTTATTTTCTTACACCCATGAGGAGCGATATCATGCAGCACTGTGTCAGTGTGCCAAGGGACCAACAACCTTTTAGGTCATTTCATCAGTAAGCAGAACTGTGCATGCTGGAGGAACTTATCTGTGGTCAGCTGGACCAAGAACTATACTTGACCCTGTCCTATGTCTGTTTCAAGAAGATGCTGCAACAAATATGGCCGTGCTTATAGGAAATCTGCATATGATTGTCATTGTAACCCTCTAAGTTGCACACGTTCTTGTAACTTGTGCTTGTGTCTTCGTTACCGAAGCTGAAGACTACACTTTTATTGACAATCACAGAAAACTTGTTTCCTCTACTCAAGTCACGTCCGAACTAACGTGACCCCCCTTTTTATATCCTCCCCCAAAGTCACAATAGCCTGACCCCGGAACTAACATTCTCCTGATCTGTTTCCTATAGAAAAACACATACAAATATATACAAAAACACATGCAAATAATATAGTGGTATAAAATATTCTTTTACATCATCATCTAGGAGTGGTAGACCATTTGAAAAATAAATGTTCAAAATATTTCAGTTATGTCTTCTAATAAAGCCATTTAACTTTTTTAAAATGGCTGGCAGTGACTGTTCATTTTCTTTGATTATGTCTCATTACATAAAAGCCTTTGAGGTAACAGGGAGTGTACGCTCTTTTCACAAGAAAAAGAGAATAAGCCCCTTTGTTTTCATCTCTAGATTCTGCCCAAACCTGCAGGATATATGTGAATTTCATAGTAAAACTCTGTCAAAACTTTTTTCAGACTAGGCCAAGCTGCTTTTACTTTAGGAAGTTCCTCCACTTTAGTTGACATTAAAATGACATTTTTAACTGTAACTTCCAAAAAAAGTTTGTAAATGGTGAGTAATAGAGGGCTTTATAAGACTGACCCATGCAAATGACCAAATCCTCATTTTTGTAGCATTTCTGCAGCTAAATGGTTGTACTGTGTTTGTGTTGTTGTGCATCAGTGCTGCTGAATCTTACGGTTTATGTTTTGTTTTCCAGCTGACAACGCAGACGTGAGTCGGCAGGCGGAGGAGGCGGAGAGCAGAGCGAGCCAGCTTTCCCGCTCCAAGACTCTGCTCCAGTCCCAGGCGGAGGAGCTGAAGAAACAGCTGGACGAGGAGGTCAAGGTTAGCGTTTCGGCCTAAAACACCAAAGAGATCCACGGGCTTTTTTCCTGACCCGAGTAAAACGGTTGTTTCCGGTTTTTGTGCCCAGGCTAAACAGGCCCTGGGCAGCGGCCTGAGCTCGGCGCGGCAGGAGTGCGAGGCTCTCCGGGAGCAGCTGGAGGAGGAGCAGGAGAGCAAGCAGGAGATGCAGCGCCTCGTGTCCAAGCTCAACGGAGAGCTGACCCACTGGAGGAGCAAACACGAGGCCGACGCCATCCAGCACGCCGACGAGCTGGAGGAGACCAAGTACGTCCGGACACTCAACACTCATCAGAGACACATTATTATATCCTCCTGAGACCCGGCCCATTCATTTATGTCTATTATACCCCCCCCTAAGTATCTGGAGTTACCCTATCAAGCCCTATGGTGTTCCGTAGAGGACATCCTGGGCTTTCCAGTGATGTGCCATGTGATTGGTTTGCATGCTGGGAACTTTACTTTTCTTTCCTAAGAGTTCTTTGGTAAATATCCCTTTCAAGACATCTTCTTGTTTATTATTTAATCATCTAAAGCCTGTTCTATTTTCCCATGCAAATCGTCCTGTTGTCCTCCACAGTGGACATGCTATGAAATTAAAATTAAATATATATAATTTTTTAATTAAATTGTAATGTTCTTTTTTAGGTCCAAATACATGGAAAATCACAACAAAATAGAAATTTGAAGACACTTTTTTTCTTTGGGTGTCAGGAGGATATAAACATTTTATAGAAAGTGTGTGTGTGTGTGTGTATGTGTGTATCACAGGAAGAAGCTGGCAGCCAGGCTGCAGGAGGCAGAGGAGGCCGTGGAGGCCACCCAGGTCAAATGCTCCTCACTGGAGAAAACCAAGCAGAGGCTGCAGGGGGAGGTGGAGGAGCTGTGCATGGACCTGGAGAAGGTAGGAATGGAGAAAGGTGTGCCGGTGGGGTTCTGGTCCTAGCGTGTCCCCCCCCTCAGGCCAGCAGCTGCGGCCAGGCGCTGGACAAGAAGCAGCGGCTTCTGGAGAAGCAGCTCTCCGACTGGAGGCAGAAGTGCGAGGAGCTGGTGGCGGAGGTGGAGGGCTGCCAGAAGGAGAGCAGGGCGCACGCCGGCGAGCTCTTCAAGCTCAAGACGGCTCACGAGGAGTCCCTGGAGCAGCTGGAGGCTCTGCGCCGGGAGAACAAGGCCTACCAGGGTACGGCCGTGCCTAATGCTTTTTACTCCGTTTCACAGTCTCCACACGCAGATGATTCCATTAGCCAGTAGTTTTCTGGCCCTTTTAAATCTATGATTTTCCATTCCATGAGTTTAAATCAAATGAAATTTTGTCTTTGATGAGATAATTCTGGCTGTGCGTACATAGCAACTTGTAGAGATTAAAACAAATATTTTCATATTTTCATATCTGGCAAAGAAACTAGGTACAAGGGATAAATACAGTCAAATCTACAGGTCCTGGACAACAAGAAAATGTAATGGTATTCAATAATGGGTTTAAATAAAGAATCATTAATGAACAGTAGAGAGAATATTCCAGACGGTACATGTTAGGAGACATTCCTGGAGTTTTGCATTACATCTTACACAGAGAAAGAGGAGTTAGCATGATTGGCTATTCACTTTTTCCATCTGCCGTCATGAACATTTAACAATAGCAACAAATAAAAAACCACCAGTGGAATCTTTGTCCCACAGAGGAGGTGGCCGACCTAACAGACCAGCTGTCCGACGGAGGCAAGAGCGTCCACGAACTCCAGAAAGCAAAGAAGAAGGTTGAGATGGAGAAAGAAGAGCTGCAGGCCTCACTGGAGGAATCAGAGGCAGCGTTAGAGGTGCACGCCGCCACATAGAAACAGCCAGCGCGGCGGCCATTTTGGTTTCATGGCTAAAGTCCATTTCTGACCCCTGCCTCTCTGTTCCTGTGTCCCAGGCAGAGGAGACCAAGGTGCTGAGGCTGCAGCTGGAGCTGTCCCAGGCCAAAGGGGACCTGGAGCGCAGGCTTCAGGAGAAGGAGGAGGAGACCGAAGCTGCGAGGTCTGTCTCTTGATTTTTCTCATCTTTCATGAGTGCTCCCTCTGGGCGGGAGGCTGGCCTTAAGTGGAAGAGTTCAGATATCTTATGGAAGTATATTTAGGATGGAAGAAAAAAATACACAGAAAACTGAGGTCTTCTGGTCACCAATTGATTTCAAATCTTGTATTTAAGGGGCATTTTGATCATTTCAGTAAAGCTCTACATCTACAAGATCCTAAAACGTACAGATCCATTTAGATTTCATTCCTAAAGAGGATTTACAGAAACATAGTCCATTCAACAAGTTTTGGACATCTTAACTTGGTTTCATCAGTATGGGGAGCAGTGATCTATAATACAATCAAATTTATGAAATATAAAGGGAAAAAACTTTTTTTTTGGCGAATAACAATAAAACCTCAACTAAATAGCCCTTTTATCACATATAACTTGAAAAGTAACATTTGAATTTCTTCCTTTGGTCTTTATGGCAATCATCATTCTTAATTTGATTGTTTTATCTGTATTTTCTGACCGTTTCTCTTTTTGTTTAGAGAAACAAATAGTTTCTAGCTGCTCCCACGTACTTGCTTTGGTTTTAAACCTGTCTGTTATCAGTCTTTAAATCTCCTAAATCCCACCTGGACTTTGGCCTGGCCCCTCCATTAGGTGTTTGTAGATGTTTGCAGGCCTCAGTAATGGCTTCTTAGCATCTTCTTCCCTTTAAGCTTTCTTCCAGCTGCCATCTGCTCATTCTGGAGACCGTCTCAAACACTGATCTAGAACTATTCCTCTCTGCCTGGTCTTCTTTTGTCCCTGCTCCTCAGATCTTTAGACATGTGCCATCTGTTTCAGCTAACTTCTGTTTCCTGCTGCTTTTCTGGTTTACTTGGGAAAAAACGCTCCAAAACAGTCTGAGCACATTGAGAACACTTTCTTTTACTTTGTCTCGCGATCATTCAGCTTCATGAGGTAAATTCATTTGGGTTCTTTTACCATTTTCGACTAATTGGGAAACAGATTCCTGCTGATACCCAAATTCCAGCTAACGCATTGGACGTCTTTGATGAGTCAGACATGCATCAAGAAAAAAGTTAGACCACTAAAACTACAGGATATTCTCTGTTGGGAATGCCAGTAAATAAGGAGAATTTGACATACTAATGGATAAACAACAATATTCCCTGCTATGTCTTTGTTTTTCTTTCATGAAACAGTGTATTGATAATAAAAATGATTCCTTAATGTTAAAATGATCATATGGGGAAAAAAAGCTTCACATAAGCTGCTTCTAAGTAATTTTTTTTCTTGAATTGAGGGTATAAACTGCCAGGATGTGCTAATCCTTTTAAACTGTAATTGTTTATCATGCCATCCTTCAAACTCACTGCTCATGATCTTTGGAACTAAACCTGGAGCCATTTCCTCCGGCCGGCCCCACATTAGTGGTGTTTGTCTCAAATCGCTGTGTCCTGACTGCCCGTCTCCCCCCCCCCCCTGCGGCCTCCCGGCAGGAAGAGCCACCAGCGGGCGCTGGAGTCGGTGCAGGCCAGCCTGGACGTGGAGCTGAAGGGCAAGGCGGAGGGCCTGAAGCTGAAGAAGAAGCTGGAGGCCGACGTCAGCGAGCTGGAGCTGCAGCTGGACCTGCTGACCAAGAGCAACGCCGAGCTCGGCAAGAGCAGCAAGAGGCTGCAGCAGCAGGTCAAGGTGGGTACTCCCGCCACTGACAGGCCGGGGGGCGGGGCTCCGGTCTCACCCGGGCGTCGCCCCGCCCTCCCCAGGAGCTGCAGGCGCAGCTGGAGGAGGAGGTGAGGAGCCACGAGGAGCAGCGGGAGGAGCAGGCGGCGCTGGAGCGGCGCTGCGCCCTGCTGGTCAGCGAGGGTCAGGAGGCCCGCGCCGGCCTGGAGGCGGCCGAGAGGCTCCGCAAGGCCCTGGAGCTGGAGCTGCAGGAGGCCGGCGAGAAGCACGCCGACCTCAACAGCCAGGTGACCGCCAACCCTCCAATCCTCCCTCAAAGCGGGGGCCCGCAGACTCTAACCCCTGCCCCCCCCCCCTCGCTCGCTCAGTTCCAGCTGGCCCTGGGCGGGAGGAGGAAGCTGGAGGTGGACCTGCAGGCGCTGCAGCAGGAGCACGAGGAGCTGCAGGTGGAGCTGAGGGCGGCGGCCGACAGGGCCAAGAAGGCCAACTGCGAGGTACGGCGGGGGGCCATTATCAGAATCAGAATCAGAATAAGGTTTATTGCCAGGTAGGTTTTTAGACTTACAAGGAATTTGCCTTGGTGTTTGGTGCACAACACTTCAATGAGAAACAAGAAATAAAATGTAGGAATAAAAATATAGGACAGAAATGATAAAACTGAAAAATACATACTTTAAAAATATAGATCCGAATGTACAAATGAACAATTGAAATGTGCAATGTTGATCTGCAACGACAGACCAGAAAATGCTGACAGTAGCATGTCTATTAGTGAGGTAGAGGGGTGGGGGAGAAGAATAGGTGGGGGTCTCTGGCCTTGTTGATTAGGCCAGTTTCTGCTGGATAGAAACTGTCTTTATGGCGTGAGGTTTTGGTCCTGATGGTCCTCAACCTTCTGCCAGAGGGGAGAGTTTCAAAGAGTTTGTGACCAGGGTGAGAAGGATCAGACATGATCTTTCCTGCACGCCTTAAAGTCCTGGAGGCCTACAGGACCTGGAGGGATGGCAGATCGCAGCCAATCACCTTCTCGGCTGAGCAAATGATACGTGAATTATACAGCGGTGAGTGACAGGCTGTGTGTGCCCCGCCAGCTGGCCCGGGTCGGGGAGGAGCTGCGGCTGGAGCAGGAGCACACGCTGCACCTGGAGAGAGTCAAGAAGGGTCTGGAGGGCCAGATCAAAGAGATGGGCAGCCGGCTGGAGGAGGCCGAGCAGATGGCCCTGAAAGGAGGGAAGAAGGTCATCCAGAAGCTGGAGGGAAGGGTAAAAAAGAAAAAACACCTTTCTATTTCCTTATAACTCCTAATATGAGATTTTCATATCTGTGTGTTCCAGTCTGATGGTCCAAAACAACTGAAATATTAAAAAGCTCCTCCAGTTGGTACCATATAGACCAATATTACCCAAAGGAGCTAAGCTCTTTTTAAAAAGCTGAAGGGTAGTTAGGGCCTTGATAGACCTGGTCTTTGTTTTTGCTCCTTAAAATGCCATTTGTTAAGGCTCACTTCTGGACATTTTACATTTTCCCACCATCTGAGCACCTGAGTTGGCTGAATGTGGCTAAAGTCGTCTCTTAAATCTTCCACAAAAGTAAAGGGGATAATGTGCATCATGTCAGAATCTACATCTACTAGAGGTACAAGTAAATCCAAAATCAAAGTCTTTTCCTTGGGCTCCATTTAACCGATGAAAGTATTTGGAAGTTTTGTTTATTTGTGTTTTTCAAGGGTTTGAATTGATTCAAGCGGCCGTCGTTTGAAATGAGCTGGACAGTAAACAGGGTTCACAGTCAGGAATTTAACCCAGGACACCTGCTGGAGCATTGAGCTTCCTCATGTGGACAGTCTGCTCCACCCAATGAGCCCAACAGCAGCCCTGTTTGGGGGCTAGGTTAGATTCAACTTATTAACCCAAATCCCAGCTGGTTGAGTTAGATGGTCACCTGTCCTGAGTCTGGTTCCACCAGAGCTCTCTGTTAAAGGGAGTTCTTTTGATTTGTTTTGTGAACACCCAGGGTCAGGCTTAGGGTTAGGGTTTGGGTCAGGACAATGGTTAGGGTAATGGTCAGGGTTAGTGTTAGGGTTAGGGTAAGGGTCAGGGTTAGGGTTAGGGTTAGCGTCAGGTTGGGGTGAGGGTCAGGGTCATGGTTAGTGTTAGGGGTTAGGATTAGGGTCAGTGTTGGAGTCAGGGTTAGGGTTAAGGTCAGGGTCATGGTTAGGGTTTGGGTCAGGACATTGGTTAGTAATGGACAGGGTTAGGTTAGGGTTAGATTCAGGGTTAGGGTCAGGTCAGGGTTAGGGTTAGGGTCAGGTAAGGGTTAAGGTCATGGTTAGGATTAGAGTTAGGATAAGGGGCAGGATTAGAATTAGGGTTTGGGTTAGGGTTAGGGTCAGGGATAGGGTTAAGGTCATGGTTAGGATTAGAGTTAGGATAAGGGGCAGGATTAGAATTAGGGTTTGGGTTAGGGTTAGGGTCAGGGATAGGGTTAGGGTAGGGTTAGGGGAGATATGGTGTAATCAGCTGGTTTCTGTTGCTAAGAAACTTGAAGAGTTTCTGTGGAATGATCATTTTCAAACTGGTGCCTTCCACTTAGTGCGGAAATCAGAATTCGAAACAACCAGATTGAAAGAAGTATCTGTAAATCATACAAATCTGTGTAGTTAACTGTCCTAAAGTTTCCCTTCCGCTGATCTCTGCCTCAGATTTTGGCTATTTTTGGGCAAAAATAGAGAGCCTGGATAACATCACCACAGCATAAGGTCCTTATGGTGCACAATCAAAGAATTGATGGTAAAGAAACAAACAGAAAACAACCGTATAGCCTCCTACAGAGCTGTGTGACGGGGCAGCCTCTGGAGGACGTTAGAAAAGTGCCGGCTCGGTGTTTTCTGCTTTTCCCTCCCGTGACCCGGGGAGTGTGCTGCTCCCCGTGCAGGTGAAGGAGCTGGAGCTGGGACTGGACGCCGAGCAGAGGCGGCACGCCGAGACGGTCAAGACGCTGCGCAAGAACGAGCGGCGCCTCAAAGAGCTGCTGTTCCAGTCCGAGGAGGACCAGAAGAACCAGCAGCGCATGCAGGAGCTGGTGGAGAGGCTCCAGAACAAGATGAAGGCCTACAAGAGACAAGTGGAGGAGGCTGTGCGTCCCCCTACCCCCCCTCGCCGGAGCCCCTGTGAGCGGCGTCAGGTCAGTTGGCTCAAGGCTTCGCCCTAACCCTAACCCTAACCCACAGGAGGAGCAGGCCAACATGAACCTGGCCAAGTACCGGAAGACCGTCCACGAGCTGGACGACGCCGAGGAGCGGGCCGGCATCGCCGAGTCAGCGCTCACCAAGATCCGGACCAAAGGCAGAGGCAGCTTCGGCAAGGGATACTCATCCGTAAGTCCTCCAGCAGGGCGGGGGGGCGCGGTTTAGCTTTAGAAAGAGCCGGAACGGGAACCTGTCTGGAGGTAAAAGCAGAATCTGCTGCAAACAGAAACAGACATGAAAAGCTCAGCCCCCGGTTCCATCCCCCCCCCCCCCGGCCCGGGCGGGGCCTTTCTGTGAGGGGTTTCCATGTTATTTAGCACCAAAACACAACTAATGTCATCTCGAAGCACTTCAAAAATACAATCCAGTTAAAGCCAACTAGAGCCCAATTCATCGTATTGCAATCAAAATCCGATCATTTCTCTCCAGATATTCCTTTTGCTTCTTCCCAAAGTGTAAACAAAAAAGTACATGCATTTAAGGTTAATTAATGGTTCTGAATTGCCCCCAAATAAAACACACACCAAAAAAATTGATGGATTGATTAACTGATATTTTGGAACATTCACATTAACCCTTTACATACAAGTCACTTTATGGCCCCTTTGATTAAAGTAAACTAAAAAGATCAGAAGAATAAAGGGTTCCTTTCCATTTTGCACTTATATTTATTTTCTCTATCTATCTAAACACGTTCCATCAGCTCTATTTACTATCTAAAGCTGTACTTTGATTGGTAGAACTCTGTGTTTTTGCTTGTTTTTTTTTATCACTTTTGAACCAGAAATGTCACTGACGTTTGAAAAACACTTGAAAAACGAGGTAATTTGCACCTTTGGCTGACCCAGACTTCCCGCCTGTCCCTGTGTGTGACCGTTCCTCCCCCCCCCCCCCCCCCCCAGGGCTACAGCACTCCGTACCCGGGCCTGGCCCGGTCGCCCAGCTCGGTGGGCTCAGAGGGCCGAGGAGAAAAGATCCTCAACGACGACAACGAGTCGGTCAGCTCGCTCATCCCGGCCTACCTCAACTCCCTCAAGAAGCTCATGGTCGACTGATACCCCCCCCACCCACAACACACACACACACATTTAATGGTCACCTGTTTGTGCACACTGTCTGTTCCTCTTATTCTATTATCTCCTTTCTGTGTGACACATTCCAGCTTTACTCCAGACACTTCTATAAGCCTTCCTATCGATTTATCTGCGTCTAAACTCAGTCTGTTGCAAACTGCCCCCCTAATGAGCACTATTCCATTTATTATTTCAACAGCAGCTTTTGTCGGAATGCTTAAACAAGGGCATTTTTAGCATTAAGCACAAAAAAATGTTTTTTTACTTTTTACAGGTCTGTTTTTTTTTTTTTTCCTCAATGGGATTTTACAATTTTGCTTCATAGACGTACACAAAATGCTAAGATGATTTTTGATGGATGATTTTTAAGTGGAACACACCTTTTGCCACAACATCCGACTCACTGATTATATGTGCCAGATGTGTAACATGTGGAAGGTTATCAACAGCCTGAACTATTCACTGTAAATATAGAACCTAGTCCCACGGCTCCAGCTCCTGTTGGTTCTGTTGTAGCCACCTTAGCATGTATTTATCTGGGTCTGTGAGTTACGGAATTATCAGCACAAATCTCCATGGATAACTCGTATCATCTATTTGATAATGTGCATATTTAATAAAGACTTTTTACTTCCACCTTAGCACTATAGCATCACACAAAGCTATCTTTGAGCTGTAAAATGGAAACAGGATAGGGGATTTTTTGGGGGGGGGATTTTTTGTTTTTTTCCTTTTTTTAGTAGCTGTCCAGGACTATGCTGAATAGCAGGCAGTCCGACAGTGTCCAGCTCCACCCTTTCCCCTCCTGTATGGGTCCCCTTCCTCCTTATTTGGCGCCCCCGGGCGGCGAGGGAAGAGTTCAGTCTGCAGCTTTGCTCAAAATCACCTGCTCTGTGCACAGTTTACCGAAAACTGTGCTGGAACTCAACTGTTCCTCACACAGACCTGGAGGTTAACAAATTAATTTAGCTAATCCTAAAGGAATCTCTTTGACTTCTTTTTGGGAGGACATAGCAGTTACAGCCTTGTAGTCAAAGTGGAGCTTTTGTTAAACAGACATATGGTTGACCATCCTAATCTTAGCCCAAATAGCCCCTCTGGACACCAGCAGGACACTGGCCGCAGCACTCCTTTGTGACTTCCGGTTTTCTCTCGCTGGTGTTTTGCACTTGCAAATGACAAAAAAAATTTACGCTGTAGATTTGAGCTCACGTGGAACAACTAAGTAAAACTAATTAACATGAACACAAGAATTTATCTTCACTTATTATTCTGAGGGGCTCTGGGCTGCACAACAGCGTTTCTCTGCTCAGAGAAGTATTGTTTTCTCAAACCTTTTATGTATTGAAAGCTGATTTTTTTTTTTACCTTATTGAATAATATCCACCAGTACATTTTTGTGCTACTGAGGACCAAAGAACAGGTCATGTTGTTGTGTAATAAGTGCCATTTAAGCGTGTTCTGCCCAAACGCATATTTCTGTATGAACTAGGTCTCAGAACAAAACCAAAAGAAAAAAGGTTTCTTTTTTTATAATGTGAAAATGTTTTTTATAGTCTTTTTTTAATAAAGGCCCTTTATTCCCATATTTTGAGTTTCTCTTCTATTTGTGGTGATTCATAACAAAACAAGGAAGCGATATTTCATGACATATGATACACATTTTCATTTTATTAAAGCAAACTGCCAACCTTTAGTTGTTATGTACAACAACAACGAAAAGAACTCCATATTCCTCTTTTAGTTAGTGGTAAAGTAATTCTATGCTGTGTTACCTGGGACTGGGTTTGATGGTGAAAGAGCATTTTGTACAGCGTCTGTCTCCCTCAGGCCCCAAATCCAGCTCCAGCTCCTGTAACCTCCCATGGACTGAGAGATGTTCCCATTTTATTTCAAACATTCGTAGATTTCAAACGCTAACAGTACCAAATGATATCATAATCGTATCATTTTTGGGGGATACTATTTCCTGTACTTTCCCACACTTTGTTTCTTCCTTTTCATAGTAAAGCCTTTCATATTTACATCCAGACCCTTGAACGTGAACAAAGCTGGTTCACTTCCATTAGTGATGAAAATGTATAACAAAGTGTCTTTACAGCACTTTTCAGCCACTTACATTATATTCATTATAAATCATTTGGGTATAAAGTGCAAATAGCAGAATTTAAATTCTTGTTAGGAATAATAGTAAACAGCTAGAAAAGAATGACTGTTCTTTAGATTCATGTGAAGACATTTCCCCCCCAGAGTCTTAATTTAGGCCCAAGCAAACAACCATTTGCTAAACTCCGAACAAAGCAACAGGGGCTGTATATTAAATTCACATGCGGTTCCTCAAGGTTTGCTCTAAAAGCAGTGGCAGTCCATAAAAAATTCAAAAATAAAAATAAAAAATACTTTGGTTGGGGATTTAGTCATGTGTTGGCACAAACGAGTGAGTAATGTTTCAAACACGTCGCCAGAAAAGTTAGCGTGCATAGCTAGCTAACCTTTAAGTCCCTTTCATTAAAAATGATTAAAATTTTAAATGATTTCTCAGGGACAAAGGGTACAATATTAGCTCTTTAGATAAATTAAATGTCCCTGGGGCCAAAGAGTGGCTGCTGCTGCTCTTTGTGTTGATAAAAGACATTTTATGGCATTAAAACATCCTCTGGGTAACATTAGATTTGTCGGCTGAGACAGTGTAAATACATTTAAATCATTAGACGATGGTATGACTATAAACTAGACGTAGCCGGTGGGTTACAGACCGATTTGTTTCCTTATGTCTGTTCACAACAATTAAAGATGGTGTTTGGAACCTGAACACTTTAATCTGAGTATTTCCAAATCACATGCTGCAGCCTCGTGAAGGCCTCCAGACAGTTTAGTTAAAAAACTCAGTTCAACATTATTTTATATTTTTTATCTGTAATTCTTTTTTTGACGGAATAGCTATTGTTCCTGGTTTTCAGCGTAAGCAATGCTTCCATTTTCGGTTCAAATTTGCTGCTTTAATGCTCGGAAATATGCCCGGCCACGAAGTTATGACCTTTGACACGAGGGGAGAGGTAAATGAAAAGGGTCAGTCTTCCTGATGGGAAATGTTTTTCATTAAAAGATTAAAGATACAGCCTCGGACTCCATCCATGGAAAAAGCTTCCTCTCATTTCAGAATCGGTCGGCTGATCTCTCGTAAAGACTCCCGTCTGTTACTGTGACGGTTCAGCCAGTTCAGTGCACATTCTATGTTCTTCTTTCTAGTTCTGTACCCGGGACAGGGTGCCTTCTGTATGTCATGTGGAACGTTACCTGTTGGGGGCGGAGCTTAGCAAACGGTGGCCACGGACGTGGAACTGGAGCTACTTCCTGCTGGTTCTGCCACACAGGCCTGAAGCACAAACCCCCCAGCTGCGGGGCTGAAAGCAGCTACACGGTTCCACCACGTCATCCTGCACCTCACCTGAGTTTCCTTTAGGAAATAACCCCACCCAGCCCCCCCCCAGAGTTGCGCTGTTTTCCTCTGCCAAACACGAAACTAGAGCAGTCACCTTCATCGCTCAAAGCCCCAAAATACAGACATCTTCCTCAGCAGGCGTGCGGTCAGGACACACAGAGCCCCCCCCCACCCCCCCCACCCCCCCCCATCAGAAGGTTAGGACTCCCAAACGGATGGGAGCCAGAGCTTGGGATTATGGATCCCGACCCGTCTCCCGGTCCTCGTTGGCGGGGCCCTGTGGGTCACAGTGTCCGGGGTGGGGGGGGGTGGGGATGGGGGGGGTTAGATCTCTACGTCCACGGGCCTGATTTCCCCAGTCTTATTCTCCCGCACCCACAGCTCTCGGTCCTTGAAGGGGTCCACGCCCTGCAGCAGCTGGTCCACGGGCTCCATGGTCTGGAAGGAGAGTGGGCAGCCGTCAGCTAAACACTGACCCTCCCTGGGGGGGGGTTAGCCCCCGACAGGCTGAGACCTGACGTTTACGTTTAGCTCAGGGCTCCTGGAAAGTGGATCTCTGGCCCCCTCTGGCTGTGCAGAGTGAAGGCCCAGCCTGTGGAAACTGAAGCCTCTCACACATGAGGAGAACACTGTGGACATGCACACTGGTGATAATCAACTCACCTCTTAAAGCTCCTTAGTTTAATTGACAACTCAATCATATAAATTAAACCCCGGTTTCCCCCCTTTTCTAATTGAAATCTGCTCATATTACAATCACAACTTTGTTTAATGTCTTTATGTCAACTAAAGCAAGCCTGTTTGGCTTCTCAACAGAATCTGTTCACATCAAAATAGGGAATTTTAAGTTGAGAGGCTTTCACATGTGGATAACATTTCAATTAGAGACGTTTTTTTATGGGCCGCAGCTGTAGCCTAACAGCTACAGCGGGCGGACCATATGCGGAGCCTCCGCTCGCAAGCGGGTGTCCTGGGTTTGATTCCAGCCCATGGCCCTTTCCCGCAGGTCTCCCCCTCTCTATCTCTGCCCCCTCTCCTGTCAAGCTACTGTCATTAAAAAGGCCACTAGAGCCAACAAAAATCTTAAAAAAAAAAAAAAAGAGAAGTTTGTTTGTGCTTCTGAGTAAAAGATAAAGCACATTCGGCCGAGAAGTTTGTTGTTGGGGAACAGTTAATGAGAAAACATTAATACAAAAATGTCTTAGTGATATTTGGGACAGGCAGCATTCCTGTTATATTTTCCTTTAGGGCTAAAATTGGAAAGAACCATCAGATTCTATGATTAGCTGAGGAGAAGGGGGGGGGTTAAATGTTTGACCAAAAAAAAAAAGAATACATCTCTGTGGTGATAAAACCTATGTGGAAAAATAGTTAATAAAACTAAGCTATTTATATGTTTAACTCAGTTTCAGCTTGTCAAGCAAAAAAATGAGCGTTTACCTGAGTCTGTATGAGGTAACCCACCCATATCCAATAGGAATCTGGGGTTTGGGAAGGCAGAGAGGTTGGCGAATGTGGGTTTTTTTCTTTCTTACTTTAACTGAGAGGAGGCTTTCTGTCTCAGGATTGAAAAATCCTGAGTAGACAGAACACTTAGGGCAAAAAAAATGCTCCAAATGTCTTTGTGAGCAGAAATTACTGTGGAAAACAAACAGTTTGCTGTACCTGAAAATGGCAGTTTCTCAGTATATCTAAAGCTGTCAATACATTTATCTTTAATCACATCATTACTTCTTTTACTGATTACAAATTAGAAATGAGAAATATTCATGCTTTTTCTAAATCCAACATGGAATATATTGGATAATAATTTTGCACTCACGCTTTGGTTGAACATGTCCGTCTCGTGCCGTAGGGTGGTGTACTGGCACAGGTGCTGTCTGATCATCTCCACCCGCTCCACCTCCAGCCTCTCCAGCTCCTGTCGGGGGACAGAGGTCAGGGACGCTCCGGGACCAGGGGACGCCGGCCGGCCGGCGGTCAGGACTGCACGGGCGCTCTTACCAGGCTGGTGGTCACTATCTCCTCGAACCACTTGGACTGGGATTGGTTGTAGAGGTCCACGCAGCGCATCAGGTCGTCTCCTGTCCCGACAGGAAAAAAAGCGGGGTGACCAGGGGCCTCTTAGCTGGAACTGTAACACACAGCCCCTCCAGCAGGGGGAGCCCTGACACAGCGACATACTCGGCTACTCCGAAGTAGCACGAAAGACAGTGGGCAGTGATAACAGAAAAGAAAATAGCCCTTATTTCCTTAGTGTCATTACTTCCGTCCTGCCAACGACAAAACAAACAGCAGCTGATTAGATCAGAGGGAAATGACTCTGATGGCTCTGTTCTCCGGGGGCTGATCACAGATTTGCTGCCTTGGTTAGCATCGTCCATCGTTTGAATGCATGACTGCAGATCAAACAGCGTGTCCCTAAAACACCACAGCTGAGTGTGACGCTGCTGGTCCTTCTGCTCTTGAACGTAAATATAAATTAAAATAGTTTTGATTTAGACGGATGTGAGAGAGGTCACCCAGATAAATTCTAGAACTATGTGTTAAAGGACATAGTAAAAAAAAAAAATATTTATCTGGTCTAAAAATAGGGTAATGAGGTTATTTAGAGACAAAAAAAGAAAAAAGATTGTGTTGAGAACATATTACTGAACCCACAATACATTATGGACCCTCTTGAGATCTCTTTAGATCCAACCAGGTCCAGACTCTGACTGGGTCATAGTGACACCTCGATTATTTTACTTTTGACACATTCTGTTGGCGGTTTGCTGCTGCGTTTGGGGTTATTATCCGGTTAATGACCCAGTTTCAGCTAAGATTTAGATTTGACGGCTCCCACTGGAGGAGTCCAGGTCCTGTAGAGCCCAAACCAACATCCCTCCACCACCGTGCTTAACAGTGGATGGCCGATATTTTACATTGGAGTTTAGAGCTGGTTTTGTCACTTCTTCAGATAGAACCTAAGCTGCGCTGCCGTGTTCCTTTTAAAAGGCTTTCTCCTTCCAAACCAGTCACACCACCAGCGGCCTGTTTTTGTACAAGAAGCCAACACCCTCTTTCCTTGTCAAAACAAATTTGATAAAGCTTATGGTTGGGATGGCTCAAGCGACCCTGAAACCTCCCATAGTCCTGCTGCTGTGGGCCCGGGCTGATGCAACTTTCCTCCCTCTGTTCTCCTTTTCCTGTGTGTACATGTGACATTACATGTGTACATTACTGGCCTGTGGTCGTCCTCCTCTTCGTTTCTTCGGAATAATAGGATTTTTTTTTTTATTCCACAGATGCCTCATCCATGCTCGGGATGGGAGTGTGGCATTAGAGATTTGGTGGAATCTGTGGTTTTCTTAGCGAGGAAAAATGAAATAGAAACCTGTTTCTAATTGTTCTGTCATGACTTTTAACATTAACATGCTAACTGAGGTCTGTAGAGTGAGAGGTGGAGCTTTTAATCGATTCGTTCTTTACCCTGTCTGACCTCCCTGTGAGTATTTGTGGGTCAGAATGTGACAATTCTTCCTTTCTAGAAATGCTCGCTCTTTTCCACACGCTGCCTCTGTCTTTCTGCTGAGACGGGACACAGGTTTCAGTCCCGTTTGGGCTGTATCTACCTCTCCTTAAAACCTGCCAAGAACAGGACGTTCGGTTGAATTGAAGTGTGAGCGGGGCGCGATAATGACGAGAAAAAAGCAAAATACAACAACAAAACTGAGGAGTGATGCAGTGAAGACAGAAGGCCGGCACACAATCAGCTCCTATAAATCTACAGTAAAGCTCCAAGCTCTTATTATGTCTGCAAACCTTTTATCAAAACCCGAAGGCTGAAAGTAATTGGCATCATGAAGGGCCGATGGGTTTTAATAGACGTTCACTGTAAAGAAAACCCAGCAGGACAGAGATTTAAAGGCAGTGTGCGATGTATAACGGTGGGATGACAAGACTCCGTTATGCCATGCTTTAGTTCAGGGGTCTTCAAGGTTTTCCAGGCCAAGGACCCCCAAACTGATGGCGAGATGGAGCGGGGGACCCCCTAATTATATATATTTTCTGAAATTGTGCTACCTCAAACTGGTGCTATAGTGTGTAAATGCACCTTGTTATTGGGCATTCAATACTAAGATCCTCAATTAATCCACAGGTTCATATCTTCCGGTTTTTATTGTAACCATCTGGTTCTAGTTGGGAGGGACAGGTGTTGTGAATAAAATGGTGGCCAGCTTAAAAGAGCTCCTGTGTGTGGCTGAATGTGAGCGTTGATGACTGTAAGACATCTTCTGCCTCCATTTATCTGTTTACTACAGTCTGTTGAAACCATGTTAAAGTGTATTTAAAGACATTTACATTAGCGTTAAAAAATTGCAAGGGGGGAATATAACAAAAAAAAGGCTGATCGACCCAAACTTTAGCGACCTCCATGCAGTACCTCCGCGGACCCCCTGCTGAAGACCTCCACTTTAGCTGTTTTGGCATCGGCCTCCTCTCTGTGGTCATCCCTGGCAGCCGGATGCGGCGACCATCATCACCAACCGCTGCTGCCCCCCCCACCCCGCCCCGCCCCCCTCCCTCCCTTCTGGTTGCATAAGCAGCAGGGACAGCTTTGTTTGTGTGTGTGTGTGTGTATCTGTGTGTGTGTCTCGGTACTGGTGTGTGACAGCATGCAGTTGTGCCTGGCTGACTGGTGACATCAGGCTCTGGCTGAGTGTTTACATGTTTATTCTGAGGCTTTTCCGTCCCTCAGGTGGCACACCTACTGAACACAAATGCTGCTGATGCTTTTCCACTCGTGCACCTCCAGGCCTTTCAATCAGACACGTTTTCTTTTATTTTCTTTGATTTCATCAGACATGAATCCTATGTATTTTTTCTTATGTTTTTAGGGAGCAAGAGAGGGGGTGCAGTGCACACTCTGGAGAACCAAATTAGTATTGTTCCGCAACAGAAACTAGTCCATTTTAAAAAAAAAGCCTCTTTTTTCTTTCATCTTAAAAAAAAAAAGTCACACAAAGCAGTACCCTTTATCATGAGGATTGTAAATGTAAAGTTTTAACGCAGTCTGCTGGTTTTCATTGCTAAGTTACAGATTTCTTCATTGGCTGAGTAGGAATTGGACTCATTTGGAATTTACTGAAACTGGATTTGTTAGGATTATGACTGTAAAA